AAATCAAGCGATGACTTAAATTTTTCACATGAAAATAATGAGGCATTGGAGGATACTGAAGTGTCAAATACCACTAACGTCCCTGAAGGAACTTACAGAGTATCTTACCATGTCACTGGTAGTGTGAGCAGTAAACGAGCAAATAAAACTCAGACTCTTCCTGCCTACGAACTAGCTTTAGAGCCAGACGTTGTTTTAGAAATACCAATAAACCAAACAAATACTCTAACGATTGACAAATTAAAACAACTTGCGAGTCTCGCTACGATATCAGATTCTAATAATAACACCTTGTTTCGAGCGCCAGGCGGCGTGATCTCAACAAAAGCAATTCCATCCAGTTACACATTGAACCAAGCAGGATTTAAAATTCTTACAAAAACTTATAATAACAAGAACCAGCCATCGAAGCAAGAAGGGAACAGTTTTGATATTCCAGAAAAGACCTACAATAAACCTCATGTGCCCAAACCGAACAAAGAAAAAGACGTGAGCAACTTTATAAAAGAAATTATTAAAGAAGGTAAGTCGTGAATAAGTAAATGGTAACGTTAATAATAATGTAGTGTCTTAATCAATTAACTCATAACAAATCTATTAATTTCAGTAGAATGTAACAATGCTACATCGTTCCGATGCCCAAATGGTTTGTGTTTGCCGCTGACATCCCGGTGCAACCGTTTACTTGACTGTCCGGGTGGCGAAGATGAACGTTCGTGCTCTTGTGCAGACTACTTGCGAGCAGATTTCTCACAATCCAAGATATGTGATGGTGTCGTAGACTGTTGGGACTACTCTGATGAGAATAAATGTGGTATGTATAGATCAAAGAGTAATTAATAAATTATATTAATAGGACTTCCAGTAGATAATCTGTACTTATAAAGTAGGTAGACTAAAGTACAAATCGTTACAGCTACTAGGTACTAAGTGGTACCTTACTTGGAGTTGGAAAGTCAAAACTCTTGAATACTTAATATACCCAAACAAGTTATAATTAGGCACAAAGTAAGTTCATCCATAAGTTACTTTGGAAACTTTAGGTAATAATTAATGAGAATTTTCACTGTTGTGTATTTGTAGATGGTAATTATGAAATTGTTACTTTACTTTCAGAGTGGTGTAAGGAAGGTCAGTACGTGTGTGCTAATGCGCGTCAATGCTTGGACATGGGCAAAGTGTGTGATGGTACACCTGATTGCCCGCTCGGTGACGACGAGAAAAGCTGCGTAGCGCTAGCAGAACAACTAGAGAACAATGAAGTGGTTCCATACAATGAAGAAGGTCATTGTACTTTCTTGTAAAAAGTAATCTCGATATCTAGTATCAATAAGGACTGGTTCTGATTGTCGTAATTCTAATTTTTCAGGTTACGTGATGGTGCGCAAACGAGGTGTTTGGGGTCGGTTGTGTGTGGAAAGCTTTGCAGACGTAGTGGAGCAGGCGCACAGCTCCTTGAAACTGCCGGATTTAGGCAGAGCTGTATGCAGAGCAATGACCTTCCAGTAATAAATTATTTATATGAAAATGATATTCCTAATTTTGACTAAAATTGAGTAATTTCTTGCCTTGGGGAATACAAATAAATTGGAAAAACTATCCGAATATATGTGGGTTGTACGCGTGGTCGTAAAGGGCTGTTAGTCCCACACGGCTGGACGATCCTTAGTTGAGCGTCAAGCAAAAAGAACAAAGGAATTTCCTTTTAACTCTTTACGATTATGTTTCTTTGTGTTAATATATTTAATATCTATATTTTAATTAAACCGTTGAAGGTATCTAGTAAAATAAATCAAATAAAAACTTAGGACATGTTTAGCTAAAATGAAGAAAAATCAATACCTACTTAGGATTCAAAGTTATTGTAATGCAGATATTGAATTGTTAATATTTATACATATAGTTGAGATGGATTTATCAACCAAACGAAAAATTAACAATAAGTCCGTGTTCAGAGACGCTGGCTGGGCACGTGAAGCACGCGAGGGGCGCAAATCCAGCACTGCGGGCTACTGGGAGGTTTGGCACAACGCGGCGGCGCGGGCACATGACACTCGACTCTCTTTCCGACGTGCAACGTGCAACAAAAAGCGAGCTCTAAGAGTCCGATGCACTGGGCTCGACTGTGGGATACGACCACACGCTGACGCTCAACAGCCCAGGTAATCATGATTAGGTTATGTTGATATGCATTGGCGGGCTTAATTGATTTTGAAACATGGGTATCAACTACTGTAGAAAAATCAAATAAGCCTAACTAGACATCACCATTCCATCACAAAACGCCTATCCAGGTTGAGTAGTGGTAGTAGTGGGATGTGTGTGGGTAGGAATGATACTGACGCGCACGTGCGCCGCGGCAGGGTGGTGGGCGGCGACGGAGCGGCCGCTGGCGCGTGGCCCTGGCAGGCTGCGCTCTACCGCGACGGAGACTTCCAGTGCGGGGGGACGCTCGTGCACGCGCAGTGGCTACTGTCCGCCAGCCATTGCTTCTACCAGTAAGAAACAACAATTTTATTCGATTCATTTATTTACTGGATACATACTCACTATTTGATTTTAACCGATTGTTATTTTACCAAACAGAGCCACAGAAGCGCACTGGGTTGCCCGACTAGGTGCATTACGGAGGGGTGCGTGGCCGCGAGGTCCATGGGAGCAAGTATCACGTGTGCGTCAAGTAGTCTTGCACCCTAAATATGCTCCCCGTGGATTCCGCAATGATATAGCACTGTTACGAGTGGACCCTGTGTCGTTACACGCTCGTCTGCGCCCCGCCTGCTTGCCGCCACCCCGGGCACAGCCCCCAGCAGGACATCACTGCACTGTCGTCGGCTGGGGACAGCTATACGAACATGAACGTGTTTTCCGTAAGTTTTCTCATACTGTACCAGTGTAAATATATAAATATACTTTCAAACTGTTTTCAAATAAAAAAACTTGTATCTTTAGCGGATACATTACAAGAAGTGGAGCTGCCAGTGATATCGACAGCGGAGTGCCGACGGCGCACGCGCCTGCTGCCGCTGTATCGCGTCACCGACGACATGTTCTGCGCGGGCTACGAGCGAGGAGGTCGTGATGCGTGTCTTGGAGATTCTGGAGGTCCACTTATGTGTCAGGTACATAAGTTTTTTATTTTTCAATTTGTAGTCATACAATGAATACATTTTTAGAGGTGTTTTAAAATCGAATACTTACATAAAAATACTTCGAAAATGAACCCAATTAAGGGAAAGAAACTCATCTTACTCTTTTAATTTTCAGGAATCCGACAAATGGTACGTTTATGGAGTGACAAGTAACGGGTACGGCTGCGCTCGAGCCAACCGTCCTGGCGTGTACACGAAAGTGTCGCACTACATCGACTGGATAGACAGTGTGTTGGCGGCTCACACACTGCCCATCAACGAAACCAGTGACTCTAGCGAGACCGAATCCAATGAAGACTTCTACGCTGATCTGGAGGTAGCGGAGAACAGACGAGCAAGTAGAAAGGACACCTGCAAGGGATTCAGATGTCCACTCGGGGAATGCTTACCTGCCACCAGCGTCTGCAACGGGTTTCTCGAATGTTCCGACGGCAGCGACGAGTGGCAGTGCAGTAGAGTCTCACCAAATAACTCCAGCATAGACCCCGACTAACAGCATTTATACAGGTTTAATTATTTTGTAAGCCAGTACTTAGACAGTAAAACTTCGAAATTCGACTGATATTTTGTAAGATATCTCTAAGTTATGAAATCTCTGCGACGACAGAGAAAATATTTCAATAGCTGTAATAATTTTCCAATAAATTCACATAGCGCTAGACGATTGCTACGCCATAATTATTATGTAATGTTATTTGGGTTCGTTTGTAATTTTGTAAATATAGATGTAGTAAAGTTTGTGCCCAAATTGTTCTGTTTACCACTGCACAATTATTGCTAAATTGAATTACTTATTTATTGAAAACATGGATTGCCTTTTCCGTTTGAATTAATGATTTTTTAAATGGACGACGTGATCCATGACCTGATCAAAATAAAAATGTAACTATATTTTTCTTGTTTTATTTATCCTTAATTTTTTTTCAGATTACAACACATTATAGGGGTTCAATAAAAAAACCAATTTTCTTAAAAATAATTTTAATCTCTCGACAAATAAATTAACAAAATGCAAACTTTCAATACAGTTATTATATTCTTCAAAATAAGGATGATATAATAAATAATAATCAAATCTTACACAGTAACGATGTCGACAAATTATTAATTATTTTAATACAAAATTCGCTGATTTAATAAGAAATATTGAATTAAAAATAATAATTACAATCACAAAATAATATAGCATGTCCTAAATTAAAATATAATCTGGGTGAGTTCTCCCATATATAGAAATCGACATAAAACAATGCAATGATCACAAGGAAGTAATACAAGTAAGAAAATTAGACCTCACGCGTGTCAAGCTTCGGGGTTTAATCATCGTACATATTAATAGAAAGTCGAGAATGCAAACCTTTCTTACTTGAGATGCTCGAGACAGTCACACACCTTACAGCTAACTTAACTAACTCCAGTACCAAGTGGTACTCCTAGCATGTTACCTTCTTGTCAAATCTCAAACGTTAGTGTAAGGAACATCATACATTACACACAAAGGCCAGTAAATACTTGAGTTATAGTTATCTCTACGTCGTATTAGATTTATAATATTTAAATACTACAATCGAGCGCAATGAGCAAGAAATGAAGACAGTTCTTAAATAAAATGATCGATACAAGACTAAATAGAGGCACGCGAGACTCGAGAACCTTCCTCGATCGACTGAGGGTACGAAAGATAGTTTGTGCTTCGAGTGATGCTTCGAGGCGAACCATGGTACGTGAACTAATGTTGAACTAGATCGTGCAAGTATTATGATAATTATATAAAGATTCGCCTCGTCTCGGATGACACTGAGAGCTGTATAGTGAACGAGGGTCGGTTCTCGAGTGAGTGCGTGGCGTTTAGCCCGTGCTCTCGACGGGCGTGGTGGTGATGCCGCTTTTTGTGCTGTTCAGCACTGTCTTGAACTGCTCCGGGACCGGGTGCTCGGACTGATCAAAAATAATTAACATTAATGTTATTATCAGTAATATTTATATCTTAAAGGAATGAATACATAATTATATCCTATTCGGCTTCTATTATTGGGTATAAGCAAGTAAAAAGTAGATACCTACATTATTTTTATTGAATATGCATTCACCTATGGTAAACTAAAATAACACATGTATTTATTAAATTATTATAATTACAAATTAAATATAGAAGATTCACTGTCGTAAACAAGACAAAACCATTTACTGCAATGACTTTAAATATTGCGGCCGGTCACGCAGCTGTTTTATTGCGTACATTGTAAGAAACTTTTCTATGTCCAGTTTAGCATGCATTAGTTAGCAAGAACAAGTAAGTGGGAAGGAAGAAGAAGGTACTTTGCTGTACTTACATAGTCACCGTTGCCTTTGGGCACGAGCACGTTCATTTCCGAAGACTTGGAGCTGACGATCTCGACATCCAACGATTCCGGAGACAGATAGATTTGGCAGCCATCCGTTTTGTCGATCGACACTGTCGGCACCTTGCCCAGCACCTGAGGATGCACAATTTAAAAATACAGCACATCTATAAATTATATCGACAAACAGTCAATCTATCAAAAATATCTAAAAGAAAGAAGTTTGTCATTTCGTTGTCAAACGTCACTCAACGTAAAATCTTTTTGTTCATATTCGTCAAGATGTTTACAAGATTCGAAGGAAGAATAAAATGCCAATCCATTCCATGGCATGACAAAGAAATGTCAACGTCAAGATTTAAAAACATTTTCAAAATTAATTTTTCGTTTTTCGCATATTTATTAATGCTCCCGATGTGTAATAAATAGGCATTTTGTATGAAATATTATACATACTTTTAGATGTTGACTTTACTTATAGTATTGGCGGCGGTGATCTCGGCTCTTCATTTGAGAACCCTTATCATGAGTACAGAGGACCGTCATTTCCTCAACAAACAAGAGGTAAACGGAGCTGCATGGGGTATCAGCAAGTTATGGAATTCCGCCATGGAACAATATGGCCTGCCGATAGCTCACTACTGTGTCAGTGTTGGATATGCTATCTATTTGCGGCTCACATTCATTAATGTGGTATGTTTACCGTCTGTTTTGATTTCTGGTAAATTCCACTATTAATATCTTTAGACCTTTTTTCTCACCCCATTTTTCTACAGATGATATTTATTCTCAAATACGTGCCGACGGGGTGCTACATGTACAAGTTCATTAGAGATATGTACGTGACTTCTCGGGAGAGAATAAAACAAAAACAAAACGAGATAGAAGACATTCAACTCCAGGTTACATGCTATTTGTATTCAAAATGTCTCTCTGTTGTATAAATACGATTGCGGTGCAACTTTCCGTCTTGTTAGATTCAGATAGTGAATACGAAGCTTTGTGTACGGGACGCGGAGTTCGCGGAGCGAGCTGAGCAGTTGCGGCGCGGCGCGGAGAGGTTGCGGCGCGTACGGGCGCGAGTACGCGAGGTGATCGCGGCCGACGACACGGTGCGCCACGCTATTGACAACACTGCCGTCTGGGACGCTAACAAAGACTTGCATATGCACTGCGCACCTCAGGAGGAAGGTGATATTTCTCACATTTATAATACATACAGTTTGATGTACTGTATATATATATATATATTTGCTTTCAAGTATAATACATATTGTTAAAGTCGTATATTTTGATTCTTTCAGACCGAGAATTCATAGTGGAATTATTAAAGGAGTTAAAGTACGACCACATGGCGAACTCCGAGAGGCAGCCAGAGAAGATGGAATGTGGAGAGCGTGCGCCCACGGACCCCACAACGCCGGAAAACAGCGTGTACTCCTCACTCAGCGACGCCGACGTCAGACAAGATTGTCGAGTGAAAATTTTAAAAGTTACCAACGTGTATAAGGTTGCTTATCTCAAGCATTACATCAAACAGAAAAGATTGCGGAGAGCCACCAAGCAGGCGATGTTGAAGAAGAAAGTAGGGACCATTTAACGTACTCAATAATTAAATGTACATCACATAATCTGATCCAAACAAATGTAAACCGAAACTATTGTTTTTTTTTTCAGATGGAGAGTATTAAGAAACTATTAGAAGATTGGCAGAAGACCCTCAACATGGTAATTAACAGTAAGCTGACTATACTGAACTTGGACCCACATCCAATCGACGTGGCGTCGCAGGAAGCCATGGGGGATTACTCCAAGCCTCGCGAATCATCCGACTCGGATAGCGATTTCAGGAATAGTTGTACAGATGTGCGTTATGACGAATATAGTTTAAGCTGGGCCGAAAATCCTTACAAGCCATATGCATATAACTATGAGGTTAGTGTACCTTTACTTTACATAAGTAAAGAGGGTAAAGTACGAGTAGAATATCGAAATACTCGATTACGATGAACTCGTGTGATCCTCACAAATTGCAAGAATGAATATGAATAGTTTAAGGAATATGTTCGATAAGGCTTGTAGGACATTATGTATATCACTGAAATTTATCTTTGGCGTGTTTTATACCGATCACGTTGGTAATGAATGTGTGTTTTTGTTTGCAGGATGTTGCTGATGCGAACAGAGACTACTATGACACCCAGCAGGACTTTGGCGACGTGAAGCCAATGTTCGCGTGCGAGCGCGGGAAGATGCCGAACATGATGTCGATCATCGAGGAGACCAACAGTCAGATAGCCATCGAAGAGATAAAGAGTGAGTGCGGCGACGATTATGAGTGCCGCGACCTGGTCGTACTGTAATCTAACACTTTTGTATCTATATTTATTGAATATAATGTTTCGGTGCAATTGTTATTTTCGTCTTATCTTATCATAATTACTAGTAGTCGCGTAGCAACTCAAAGACAAGTCATTCTTCATTCTATAACTTATATAATGGTCAACATACATGTTAAGTTTCAATGGTCTTCTATACATGTTAATCTTAAAATAATTTGACTTAAATCTCATAGTAGGTACTCCGTAGCTGCAAACTGCTGATAAACAATATTTATTATTCGGTCATCATCACAGACGATATTATTATTGAACACCTAGACACTATTTAATCCTGTGACAACAAGTTAGTCGCAAACAGCTTTACAACTTTCTCATCCTCCCTACAAACGCTAATCAAGTGTTACAAGTTATAGCAGAACTACAAATTGAACCAACGTTTAAGACTCCAATGTATGTACACAGAGCAATACGTTGTTACGTCCTTCACTCAGCTGCGCCACTGAAGGGATCCTTAAAAAACATCTCAGCCGATAAGGATTGCTATTGTTCCTGTTTCAATAAAAATTTCATTACGTGCTATCTCCGAGATTGTTCTTTTGTAATAGTATAGGAACCACAATTCAAGTAATGGATGTCACTTTTAAAATGAAAAATGAACGGAAAAATATACCCGGTCTAGTTTTCGCTTCCAAGGTAAGCTTGCCTCAAGGGAAACCGCTCGAGTGCTCATTCATACAGTACTGTAATTGTTCTAGGAGACACGTAGAAAAATTTCACAGTTGGGTTAATTAACAAGAAAGAGAAATGTGTCGATTTATACAAAAAAAATAATCAAAATATGTATTTATGAGGCTCGACTATATTAGTTGCTTTCCCCTATTTTCTAGGGAGGGGAGAGAATCTACTTATTTAGTTGGGACAACGTTGATAAATGATGTGATTACGGCGTCGGAAAATCTTAGGATAAAGTTAATGACAAATTGTCGCCGTCGATCCGCTGGGTAAAATCCTAGTTCTCGGTTCTTAGGTAGTATGTTGTTTGCCTAAGCTATCACTTGAATAATATCTATGTCTATACTGATGTTATAAAGCCAAGATTGGAAAAATTCGCCATTGGAAAACTAACATTTCTAGGAATAACATTGTTTTGCTACTATTATCTCGATATTTCTACAGCGAAAGAGATTCAAAGAAACTAGGTACTTGCGAATGAATCTTAGGCGAAAAGTTGTTATCTGGTAATAATAGAGAAAACTTTAATGGAAGCTTAGGGTGCTTTCCACTAGAGATGTGCTACGTAGCTATGCTGCGAGGATGTAATAGCTAAGCTGTGAAACTATGTGACTGTTTCTTTCCACTGATGTTAAGCTATGTAGCGGTACGAGTAAGATGTGCTGTGAGGAGGATGATGAGGATGCGCCGCCACAAAGTGTGAGGAAGATGCGCAAGTCGAGCTATGCGATGTATCGATAGTAGGAAAGCGGCAAGGGCGCCACGTATCCATAGCACGCATCCAAACCACACATCCTTAGCTTGCATCTTTTCATATAAAAAAACAAATCTTAGTTGAATCTGTTTCCACCAGTGCTAAGCTATGTGTACCAATAAATATGATTGGTGGATGCCAAACGCATCCACAGTAACGTAGCATAGCACATCCTTAGTGGAAAGGCACCCTTAATTCCACAAACTATTATTTGTATTGTAGAGTTATTGTTGCTTCAAGTTCTTAGAAATGGAATCAAGTAAATACTTTCTGAAATGAATTAGATTTGAAGAGATAGCTATGTTTATGTGGATTTCTGTTGCTCGGTATGGCCGAGTGATTCAATATTTATACAGTTAGAAATTTAGTCATGGAAAAAGGAATTCGGTTTGTTTCGATTTCCACTTTTGACCTTTTTACATTCTACATCTAATGTGTTAACGACTAAATACTGCAAATAATTTATCTTCCCATTTCCATTTATGATGATTATACAGAGGGGGAGACAAATATGAAAAGTATTTCACAGCAGGATATCGTTATTAAATTGAAATTAGCAAATCTATGTCATCTTATATTTGATCTCCCTACGTTCCTATTAAAGTTTCCTTGCAGAATTTACTTTCTACTGGCGGTGTGCACACGGATACTAACTATCACTCATTATTCTTCCGGTAAATTTTCCCATTTTGCTCTGGAACATTAGTGACAGCATGTCGTATGATAAAAGTTTCCTAGTGGACACGAGGCTTACAAAAATGGTACAATATAATCCTGTCAAGGATTTGGATTGATTTAACCCTGCCAAAATGGGCATAATATAGTTCACATAATAATAATAGATAATTATAAAAAGACGTAAAAGACAAAGATATAAATCTAAAAGACTGACCTGCATCTGCACAGACTGGCAGTTGACGAACTCGATGCTGGAGACGAGGTTGTCGAAGACGACGGCGCACTTGGTGCAGGAGTCGAGCACGACGCCGTTGACCTTGCCGCGCACCGTCAGCGCGGAGTCGCGGCAGCGGAACATGTACACCACGTTGTTCATGTCCGCGTTCTCAACCACCAGGCTGGGGTTGCCTTTTTGATATTCCTGTCGTAACAAACATTTTATCTTCTCTTAATATTTTGAATTTTAAAATTTTGTAAGGATTATATCTGGGTGAAAATTGGCATAAAGGTGGTTACAGCTTTCTTTTCCATTTGACAATATCTATGACGACCTATTAATGAATACATAGCAATAGTGTTTACTCTGACCTAACGGTACGTCACTCGCCCTTTTTTCATTGTTTTGTCAAGTCCAAAATGAATAGTACTACAAGTTAGATCATCCATATCAGTAGGATGAATCATAACTTGGTTTGACTCATGTTATTTCGAATGTCTATACGAGTACATTAATTCCATTCAAATAACACAATACAAACACGCAATGATGTTTACTCATTTGATGGAAATGCGATCTTCGTAACTATGTACGGATGAAATGCATCGGTGTACAATTAGAGTAGAGGATGAAAGATAGGCACTGCTGTTAGTGAATTAATTAGGCGATATACGTACAATGAGCCACTTCTTGCCGTCGCGAGTGAAGACAGGCGGCTTGTCTAGCGTGCCGGCGCCGGGCTGCGGCAGCTGCTTGCCGAGCGGGGCGCGGGCCGCCGGGGCCGCCTTGAACGGGGCCGGGCCTTGGCGGAGCTGCGGGTTCTTGTGCGTCTGCATGTCCGGGGTCACCTTACGCAGACCTACGACAACAAACACTTATTTACCTTCAAAATCGCCAAAAAGTTAGTAATAGGAATTCGGTACAAACACATGATCTGACCGCTATTTAAAAATGAACCCAATTGAGTGCAAATGTAACAGTAGCGGAAATCCAGCTCGATAATGTAACCACCGTATCTGTTATGTAGAGGCATCTCAGTCATCCAATGAAACATTTGATTTCATGACAAACATTTAGACACCACATTATATCATTTTATATTACACTGTAGTATGGTACGTGTTATAAAGCACAAACACGTACTGCTAGTGATGTTCTCGCCCTGGTTGATCTCAGCGAAGAGGGCGCTGCGGTCGTCCACGGACAAGTTGGAGAAGTCCACGTCTGGGAGCACTGGGGGTGGTGGGGGCATGCCGCCGGGGGGCGGCGGTGGGGGAGCTCCGGCGCCGGTACCTAGACAAACAAAGCAATTATTGAATAAATCTGATCTATATATCTATCTGAAAAATAGTATTTGAAAAAACTTGGTCGATCATCTCAGACGGTTATAGAGCCATGAGTAGCTCATATCTCTACCTACAACATAACAAAAACACTCAGTTCGCCTAGATATCGATATATCTTTATTGGTTTTCACGTGATAGAATTCAATCCAATGTAATATTGAAATTCGTTTCCATTGGTAACCGGAGCTGGCAAAAATATTGACAGTACCTACCAATTCTGGATTTTACCGTTCATAACACTTTGGTTCTACCAAGTAATTATTCTGTGCCAGTACCTAATGATTACGTTTTTAGTACAGGAAAGGTCCAAATGTTGATCTAATTTATAACGAAAATCCGACGGTTCTGGTTAACAACCTTCCACAGAAGTTAAGAACATAACACAAAAATATGGAACACAAAAAATCAAAAACCTAAATGCTAGCAAATCATCAAAAGCTCTTTAATACACCAATATTTGGCTGACGTAACCACAACGCATATTTCCACGTACCGATATCACGTATTTTGTCAAAGGTTTATTAAATTTAATTCAGTCTTACGTTTGGATAACTCTGACGAAGCTGTGCAGAGTGTTAAGGAGAGATGAAAGGGTGGATTAAAATGTCGCATCAAATTGTGCGAAAGCAAGGCTTTTGAGTGAGGTTCCAGAGAATTTATCTTGAATTCAAATACCACGCTTATCTACAAGAACATTTTCGTTCAGGGAATAAGCGGGACTTGAACCGAGTCGCCATCAAACGCGAAGACGATTTTATCTAGAGACAGATCATAAAGGTGAAGGGCTAGAACAAAGGTTGGCTTTTTAATGAACAAGCAAGTTTTTGAGTCCTATTGTTTGCTAATTTATCGGGCTGCAGTAAGAGGTGTATGTGTATTACATCATCTTAGTCTTTATTCATAAAAACAAATTGTTTGGTTGTTTAAGTATGTTCAAAACATCTTGGATTCAGATTGTGATAATCGTAAAAATAAATATCTATGTTATCATATTTAGGCAATAGGCGTATAGAAAAGCAAAGAGAAGAGATATAATATTTGACGCACGAGAAACATCTTGATAGTCCTACTAATATTATAAATGCGAAAGTGATGTGTGTGTGTGTCATTCATTCATGTAAGAACGGCTGAAGGGATCTGGATGAAATTTGGAACAGGGGTAGATTGTGGTCTGGAATAACGCAGATGCTAGTAATTGATTGATATGAAATTGACTAGATATTTACCATTTTTATTACATAAATATTCTCTTCTATACAGGTAGGTACATTAGACAAGATACCAATCTATTTTGGAAGCTAATGTATAAAGGGCCGTGTATTATAGGGATCGTTAGATTTTTCGTACCTCAACGGGTTTGGATTAAAATCGAAACATTTAAGCTTGTTATAAATGTTTTCAGATAAAATACAAAACCTTTTGAATAGCAGTTAGATAACCAGTATAACGAACAACGCCTATATTTCAAAATTTTCCTGTATGTTTAAAATTCATGAAAAATTATTTATGACGCTGTAATCTGTAAAAATAAAACAAATATAATCTAGGCCTGTACAAACAAGGGCTTGATATTAAAGTAGACAAAAAATTAAAATATAAATTACGGCACGTGTTGAACTTGTTGACTTTACTTACATAAATAAATAGGACTCAGGTAATAAGCTTTGAAGCACGTAGGCGTATTCAGAATGTACGCACTAAACCCATTCTTTCGGTAAATATCAGGAGTCAACTTGTTACTACATACATAATATCACTAACACTGTTTTTAAATTTATTTGAACGCAACGACAGATGACAAATTTGTAGAGTAGAGAAAAAACATTTAAAGACATCTAGATTCGTGGGAACCCTTAAGTTTTAGTGACGAACCAGTGTTCAGGTGTTCCACATTACGGTCGAGCGCATTTCATAACCCGCGCATAAATGTGCGGTGACATTGGAGAGCTCCACCGCGTATTAAATAATTCAAGAGTGGAGCCACACTCGTGTCAAGTTCAACCAGAGAACAACACCGGCTTAATGAGGGTTTTATTTATGTACCACTTGGAATAATAACTTTATAATTGTAAAATAATGTCACCAAGTAAAGACTCAAATAGGACGGGACGGATTATGGTATTAATTATGTTAACGGGTTCACATAAATTGTTTTACAAGTTCTATGATTGGACAGGCATGCAAATTAGATATTAGTTTGGACTCAGTTTAAGTTCCTTAACCCCTCAAGCCACTAACTGAAGAAAGGAACTATTTACGAAAGGGTAAAGGTCTATCCGACATTATGATGTGATGCATAGGGATTAATATTACTTTTTAGTTTTAAATCTATGAAGGTTTTAATAAATGCTCTTGATGAATTAGTTAATCTCTTACCAAGAACTCGGCGTATCCCACAGAGGGAACAAAACAGATAGGAAAATGACAAGTATTTCTCGTGGAATATTCGTCTCATTAATTATATGACGGATGAAATTATACCATGCCGATCACGTACAACTTACTCATCGTGGTGACAACGAGTATTTCCTTTGGCATAGTAATTTATTAATGGGGTTTTTGAGCCTATTCCAATCCAATGTATACTACAACAGACGAACATAGTATCTCCTCCTTTTTTTGAAGTCAGTATAATTGAATATTAAGAAGTACTCACCAGACCAGACGAGTCCGGTGGTGTGGTACTGCTTGACGTAGGCCTGAAGGTCGGACAGTAGCTGCACCCAGGCGCGGCACCACTCCACGTGCGTCTTGTTTTTCTCCTTCCATTCCTTCAACACTCGGTTCGTGTAGAACTGACCAGCGTCGTTCATTTCCTTCACATAAGGTGCCGGGGTGGGCGCTACAGCCACCCATCCTAGAGCAGGAATGCTCTCGGATATAGCCGACAAGTGATTGAAGTACGTCGAAGCGCGGTTCTTCTCGCGGAACTGCTGGATAGCAGAGATCTGCTCGCTGGTCGGAGCCAGGAGTTGCATCTCCTCAGCCTGGGAAGGCTTGCTCCTTGTTGTAGCCAGTTGAATGTAGCGAAGTTGCGCCCTGGTGTACAATACAACTGTATTAGATCAAACATATTCGATTGTCTTCAAAGACCCTAGTTGTAATATGAAACAAACAACTTGAACAACTCTTCAGATTCTAAGTACCAAGATAACTTCAACTATATTATAGGCCACTATATTATTTTAGTTACGATAAATAATAAGATCAAGTAATCAGTAATAGCATTAAAGGTAAATATCAATAAACTATGATATCAATTAAACAGAATGTAGAACATGACAAACAATATTATTAGATTCCTATTTAGAAGCTAATTTGTAACTATCGTGTTACTTTGATAGCGATGACTCTGGTTCAATGAATCTCATTAATTTAATAATGTGAATCTGCCGGTTCGTTTCAATTTAGCAACACAAACAAGTTCTGATAGGGAAATTAATTACTGTATTAGAATCGCTCCTTGCCCCGTGTCACGAAGGCGGAGAGCAAATAAGTTCCACACCCTAATTATAGAACCACAAATAAACAAAGTATGATTACCGAGCTTCTCGAATACAAATTTGTAAAACATGATTTAATTTTGCAGAGTTATTTGAATATAACGTTCTGTAACACTAATAATTCTAAGCTACTCTACAATGGCTACCTACGCAAAAAACAGCAGTCTAAAATAACGTTTTATGTAAAATACCGGCGCCCGCCAGTCTGCCTAGTTCTAGACTGGAGTTATAGTGAAACAAAGTTGATGACTAGACAATGTATAGTTTACGTGGAATTTGTTATTACTTACTGGAAGGCGGCGTTGACCAGGTTGGCGTGTGCGGACACATCGCCACCGATCTGCTGCGACAGCTGCAAGTAGACTTGCAGGGGACCCTGACAAATAAAATACTTTGGTTAATTATACAAAGCTTCAAACTTCACTCCTTTACAACTTTAAGTGAAAAAATGGTTGCTCATTCCTCTAAATATTATCTACAGTTCTAGTTATTCAATGATCGCACGCAAACAGATGTCATTGTGTAAAGTATCTTTTCAGATTTAATGTTGTCAATGAGTACCTAAATATTGACCTAATAAGCCTACAAAGTTTATTACTTAATAAACTCTAAGTCTAGACTTTCCTCATAAAAATTGCAAACATGTATACTATGTACAGTACAAGTTCGCTAGCAATTAGCCAGTATCGCTATAACTTTTATCCCTGGGGTAATACAACGCCACGTTTCGTAACTGGTTTGCCTTCAATTACCTCAATTTAATATTGATAACCTGAATTTGTTGAGTGGATTATAAGCTCATTGTTCTATTCACAGTGTAGAAATATAGAAGGATAATTTCAGAACATTTTCGAGCCCATTACCCCAAAACAAAGATATACCTATAGTCCATCTGTTTAGGTAATTAACTAAAGGTAAACAAAGAAAACCACGTGACACAGAGATACTTAACCTACTATTACTTCAAATATTTGTCGTATTTTAATTTTAACCAAATTCACTTTAAATTCGTTCATTTGTCATACACACATATACAACTACAAATGCCTAAATCGTACAAGAGCCTTGCCTATGGGTCTATTTCATTATCATGTTTAAATAGAGACTATTCTGAATCTGATGTACGGATTTCTTTCTTGTACGGATATGTGTCTTTGGGCCAAGTTTCTTCAAAATATTTGAACACATTAATTACAAACGATGAATAACCTAAACTTGAATAACTTAATAACGAAAACAAAACAAAGAAACAAGATAAATTCAACAAAATAGGAACGCGAGCGCAAACGACGAGAGAGCTGTCAATGGCGCCTGATTAACCGACTAAACGTAATACACGCTACTTTCATTGTCGCGCTACATCTTAGTTGTACTCTTTAATTTGACAACATTATTTTGCTTCGTTCTTAAAGAAAAGTTTTGGATACCTGGGATTTTAGGCTCTTTATGGTGTCTATTGTAATGAAATATTATATTATTTAATAAATATTATTAAATTAATATCCTCAAGCAGATATATATAATATTTACTAAGAAATAAGTGAAAAGGAACAGAAACATAACATTTAATAGAGAAAACTGTCGTAAAAACGGAAACAATTTTATTTTCTTATGAAGTATTTTGAATCATGGAAATGTCAACTATAAAGAACTCTTTTTATGGTTTGTTTACAAATAGTTAACTACCTAAACAGACGGAGTATAACAGAAAATATTTTCTATTATTAAACCATTACGCCGGTTTTCAAAGATAATAAATAGTATATCAAAAGAAAGCATTCTATCAACTTTCTTTGAACATTTCGTCCTTATTACATAACCGATAAACGAGCTCCCGACTTTTGTTATGAAAATGTATTTCTGTTTTTTTGCTGAACCACGAGTTAATAGTATGGATACTCCACATATTGGTTTGATCAAATAGTGTAGGACAATAAATTGGAGTACTAATTTATTTGGACTTTTTTCATTTCGAGACTTTATTCTAGATTCCATTCCTTAACTGTTTGCTTAGTTAGACAGGCCTTTAGTTCTGTGTTTCTAAGTAATGTGCTCAAAGAGATATACACTATAAAACGGTGTTTGTCGTCGTAGCCTAAGTAAGTCCTTATGGCCAGAAAAACAAACAAGATAATGTATCTTTCCTGACCTAATTTATACAGAGCTTTATTCTGATATGTCACAGAATATCGTCCGTCGTATACAATATTATGAAAACCTTTTTTTAAAAAAAAACATCGTCAGTGACATTTTAAATTCAATTAGAGCTTGGTAAAACAATCGGGGTTGAGTAGCAGACAAAAACTCCGATGACTTGGTGACTTGGTGTAACAGCATCTAGAGTAAATGAAGAGTTTGCCGGAAGGTCAGTCGACGTAAGAAGGGAGAAATTGTGCGATTACATATTTTCCGGGACCGAGCCTTTGAGAACAACGTAATGTCACCCGACCGTTATTAATTGATACAAGTCCCGACCCTGGGCATCTCTTACGAAGACTTTTTATTTATATATCACCAGCCTTCACAACTAAGCTAATTTTCTTGAACCCTCTTTGTCTCATCTTCCGTTGTACGTATAATCCTTTTCCCCGGAACCACTCCGCTGAGAATAAGTTCACGACCTATTAAGATAAACGTCTTCTCAGTCACTAAAGGTCACAGTTTAAAAGGTTTATACACGGCATATAAGGCAATTTATCAACATTATATTTTGACACACAACCTTTACCCCTTGTCCACGAGATAAAATAGACTACCTGAGTCCGTTACTTATAAATCAATTGATTTTTATCATTTATTTACTTTTTCACTTTATAGTTCCTAATGGTTTGGCAAAAAACTAACAGCTTGTTGGAAACGGGTTTGTCCTACAGTTCAACGTACTGATATAACCATGTATGGATTGACTTACTCCGCAGTCTCCTCTTCATACCATGCTTATACCGTACTTAACTGTTTTCTTAGTAATGAGTCTATCGCTAAGCAGTTTTTGCTCGGTGAACCTAACACGGATGAAATCATTAAGTCTGAATTAGGAATTTAAATGCACGGTCACTGCACATTACGAGATTCAACGCCATGATGAATTTAATGTTACCTACTGCGGACGTTTTATCTTTTATATTTTTGCTACGTCGTTTTATGAACACTAATAAAAAGGCTGACATAAAAATTGCAGAAGCCACATAGATGTGATTAAATTTTAATTGGTATTATAATCCATTCCTCAAAAATCCAGGAGCTAATCACAATCTCAGACTTGTACGTACCTAATTGAAATAACTGAATTTGTTATAGGATACTTTAAATAATGGCGGCCATTAATCGATTAGGCCATTAGAACGACCATTTTGAGCTAGATGGTAGTATTTTGTGTCTAATTATTTAGTCCGTCTCTACAAATTAAAACGTTTATAAAGTTACCTGCACTATATCTTGATAACCGTTAACGCTCATGTCGTCGGTTGGTTCAAAGCACGGTGCTTGATGTGGGAGCGAGGGCTCAGAGACTGGCGAGGGCGCAGGAGAAGCTGGCGGCGTTGGAGTGCGCGCGCGCAACAGCGGCAAGCGCTCCAGACGCGATGTGACACGCTCCAAGCGCTCTATCAAGCACTCGAGGTCCGATGCTGGGCTTCGGGTCGCTGCTGCAGCGTCGGCTTCGCTGCCTGGTGACAAAACAACATTAACGTAGATATTACTAAAATATTGCAACTTTTCATAATTTATAGATCCGTGGCGAATACCAGGTTGGTCATTGTTATTTAAGTTAAATGTTCAGTACCATGTTGGAGATACGCGTTTGTCGTTCAAGTATTCTGTTATTTTATTACGTAACAATACGCACCACTAAAATACTATATGCTACTTTTAATATAAACACATGAATGATCATGGATATCTATAAATATCTTGTATTTATGTGGTTCAGTTGAGAAATAAAAATATTTTTCGTAGAGAATATGTTCCGTCTGGTTGTTAGAGGTTTATAACAGAAATAGATGAACCCATCTCATAAATGTTAGAGACTATTTAATTCTCAACACATATCTAAAATTGTACTTCTTCATTCTTATGAGTTAAGAATGACCTACAAGATATTTTGATATCTGCAGCACAAACACACACTGCGTAATTTTGCGTGTAAACACACAGCTAAAACCACATAACCACAATTGCATCCAGTGTTACATAAAATGCAGATATGTTTCGCTAGGGTTGAAATTAATTGTGCGAAACAATGGCTTCACCAAGAGCCACACGCGACTCCACACCACACACACCGCAATGAGAAGCCAGATGAGGACAACTTGTTTTACTTTATTATGGAGATAGAATCTGTGTAGTTCATACTTTGGTTTTTCTTTTCCATTACTATTGTTTACCTCAATACGAAGTTTTATAGCTATTGTTTTGTTGTTTGGGACCGAACCCCTCTGAATACAAAGCACTCAGTCGACCTCGACAAACAAGCACATCATAAACCTAGAGAAATGGGCCTTCCTAATGGGAAATTTACTCCACCCGCGAACTATTCATTTAGGATATTCAATGACACTTTTGCTAATTGATTACTTACTATACCTACATTGGTTACTTTCAATGATTTTAATAAACAATAAATGATAATTGGAGACGGTTTACAAATGTTTATTTCGTTTAAGAACGCCTAAAATATTCAAAACCGAATTGTGTTAAGTAGCTTCATGAGTCTGAATCACCTTTGAACAACTTTCGAGAAGTTTCAAGTGGGACTGTGCAAATCGAAATGTAATGGAATAATAAAGAAAATTTATCGCTGGAAATAATTTGTTTGAATACACAAGCGAATCAAAGTCAAACAAATGAGCCGCAGTATCTTCAATATTGAGAGCTCAGGACCAGTTAAAAATATTTTAACATTTTGTACCTAAACAAAACGAAACCAATCACTTGTTTGCGACATTTAATTTCCTCTGTACTTCAACAATCAAATCCTTTAATCATTTCTGAAGTAGAAATAGCATCTTATCGTACGAGTATCTTAATAGAGTAAGCAATAACTAAAATGGAGAACGTGGAATTCACTAGAAATCTCTTTAACACAGATAAATAAGGAAAAAGTTATATCAATTGTTTATAGAGTTACAGTTAACGGTATTAATTACAATAGTATATAATAGAAAGCATAAAATACCCATAACAGTGTTGAAGGCCTCCTGTGTCATTTCTGCTAGATCCCTAATATCCGCATTGTGTTCCTCTTCCGCTTTTTGACGCGCCTCAAACATCTTGATGAGGTTTTTCATATCCTTTTTAGTATTCTTATCCATTTTTGTTTAACAAATAACGTCTAACAACCACAAAATGTAATCACAAACTAATGAATTTCCAATAATTCAACACCTTAGTCACTTAAGTTCTGGTTGAACGCTCACTATCGACTGACTCACTAAGATATGATAAATATGATAACATGTCTTTGGAACCGTAATCGTGTAAATTACACCTAGATAAAGCGAATGCCTGATAACAATATGTACGAGAGCTGGCCACCATATGTGGACTTTTACTTTTTGACAGTGCACCTACATCATATGTTTGTTTGTGAGCACACGCCCTGGTTACTCTACGCAACAAGGACGAATTCTGTATCACACGTTTGTTGACTTTACTGACAAACGAGTTAGAGGGCTTGTCACAATGCAATACTGTAAGCGTAGCTTATGCAATTGTTAAAAATAACATAATTTACATTTCGTTAAAAAACGAAGTAGGTACAAACTAATAACTTTTCTTCTGTTATAGGCATAAGTACTATATTTTCTCAATATTTAGGCAAATATTGAGGAACAAGTCACATAGTAAACTTTTTCATAATATTTCAGTGTTTCCCATTTAAGTTGCCAATCAAAGAAAGCCTGAAAACCTGAACACCAATAGAATCAATCAGCACATAGATTGTTCCCTTAAAATGAGCATCAAAAATAATAAAATTTCCCTCCTGCTTCGCAAGCATCCAATAAGGTCCAATATTCGTGAGGAATTTACACAAAAAGTTGTCTCCATCAATATAAATGGGGAGCATTATTTTAGGTATACGTATCCACTATACTGAAGCTTTTAGCAACATAAAGATATAAAATATGCAAAGACAAGATTATTTACGGTTGAAACCAAAAATATATCCAATCCTTATGTTTTACAGTGTCCTTATCTAGAGACATCACCACCGAAGCGATGCGGAAAATTAATGTCCAGGTAATATTTATATAATTTACATTTCCATAAATTAGAAAATACCATCCGCTGTTCTATTTCTGTTAAATTTAATAATTTTATCAGAGGACAATGTCAATTTATGTTCTGCACTCCTAAATAAATTGAGGAAAGCAGAAGCATAAACATGATTAAAATTTGATTATGAACTTCAGTAAATTATTAATTTGGAACGCTGCACGAAACATTAATTTGACTATATTAAAATCTCTCATAACCTATTTAATATACTGCCAGGAGGTTGAATGAAACGCGAGCGTTGAATGTAAATGGGTACATAGAGTAGATCCCCATTTCATAAGAGAAATTGGGTCAAGTTCTGAACTTGTGATCTATCTCCAAATAGGTACGTAAGAAGGCAGTTGTAAGGGATAGATATGTACAACCTGTCTCTTTAAGCACGCTGAAGTGGGTATGTATGAAGATGCCTATTATATTTCTTTATCAAATTAAAACCACATCCTACAGATTAAACAAGATTGAAATGTCTTGTAGATTCTGTCTATCCTTTGCCCACGGATGTGTTTGATATAAACCTCTAGGCGTTTCCACGTTTTAATACTTACACGGCATTTCGGACGAAAAATTACACGCGGGAGCTTTTATAAACACCCTTCGGAGCCGTAAAAAGCCTTTTATCACACGAGATTTTATTATACAGGAAGCTTTGTAGGTGGGTGTACCTTCAACCTTGTACGAGACTTACTTAAACTTATTATTGAAACCCAAACGTATACCTACAATAGACCGCTTGCACACCTATGACAAAAATGTATGCTATATATTTATGAACATAATAACATCATCAAAAATGCAAATGACAATACAAAAGCTTTAACTACACAGTTTGCACAGTCCGCCCAGCTCATAAAACTAAACATGTTTACATTAGCATAAACATATTTATATGTAAACGACTACGTGTCTATTTTTCCTTTAGGTTTAGCAAAAGGGACATCAAACATTGAATAATGAAGTGTAAAATTTTAACAATTTAGCCCCATTATATTCATGTAAATAGGTACCTATGTAAATATTAGTATAGGCGATAAAATCAATATACCTAAAGGGTCTTCAAATAAGTTGTCGTGGCCTTTTCGAGGACCGTGAACGAATCCACACGAATTTTATGAATTTTATAGGGTAGCTTGATCTATTTACATCTTGTGTGACAAATAACTTTGGATAACCAAAATGTATACCCAGTTAAATGCTTTTAGAACAATACATACACATAGATAGATAGAGATAGACGAAAATGGGACAATAAATGTTATTAAAACATTGCACATGATATTAAAACATGCACAGTGATTAAAACATTGTTGTATGCCGACGACCAGGTGCTTGTTGCCTCGTCGGCCCAAGAATTACAACAAATGGTCACTGCTATGAGTGATGCATTTGAAAGGAAAGGTATGAAAATAAATGTGAACAAGACGAAAGTGTTGGTGATAGAAAGAAATGAGGTGATAACAGAATGTCAGGTAATGATAGGTGATGAAAAATTGGAACAAGTGAATGAATTTGTGTATCTGGGATCACTATTTACGAGAGATGGAAAGTGTGACGGGGATATTGAAAGGAGAGTGAAAGCGGGAAATAGTGTTAATGGTGCTTTACACTCTGTAATGTCGAGTAAAATAATATCCAGCAAAGCTCGACTTGCTGTAATGCAGTGTGTATTGACACCAACGCTTATGTATGGTAGTGAATCATGGGTGTGGCAGAAGAAGCATGAAAGCAGGATTAATGCGGTGGAAATGAGAGCCCTGAGAAGTATGTGTGGACTAAAATTGAGTGATCGAGTGAAAAATAGTGTTATTAGAGAGAGGTGTGGATTGAAAGACGATGTAGTGACAAGGATTGAAAAGGGAATGTTACGCTGGTTTGGACATGTAGAAAGGATGGATGAAAGTAGAGTAACGAAAGAAGTATACAGAGCGGATATGAATGGAGCCGTCGGTAGAGGGCACCCTAGACGGACATATAGTGACCAGATTGGCGATATATTAAAGAAGGGCCAAATTAAAAGTACCCTTAACCGACGAGCATGCATGAAAAGATTGATGACTGTTAATGAAGCGAAAGAGGTATGTAAGAATCGTAGTAATTGGCGTTCCTTAGTCTCTGCCTACCCCCATGGGAGACAGGCGTGAAGTTATGTATGTATGTATGTAAATGTCTGAAAAAAAGATACGACCAAGGTATTAAAGTAAATTCACTTGTAGTCCCATCAAGAAACTAACTAATTGACGTTAAATTAAAAAAATGGCGACGCCAGAGGAATTATAATTTGCATCGTTAAGCAAGAACAATAAGGTAAGAAGACAAATAATATTATCCAAGTAACAGTTGTTTGAGCGCCATTCCAACGTCTTGAAGACATAATGCCTTGACACGTCATCCT